CTGATTTGTCAAAGTTAACTCTCATTTCAAGATCGAACACTGCTTAGCCTATCATTTACGTCATACTTGTTAATCGTCAATAATTTTCGGTGCAAGCTTATTAATTACACGTGCTACCACACAGCTTTTTTTCGTTTATCGAAGTGTTCTTCAAGTTTTAATGGATTGAAAATATGTCAGTATCATCCGAACCGCCTACAAAACGTTTAAGATCAACACCTGTAGAAGACATRATGATAACAAGAGGTTTGCATCTGTAAGAAGGRCTATAAAGCGRTTGTAATGTTTCTACAGAGGAACGGAGAAGTGTTGGGGAACGACCTACAAAACTTCTATTCAACAACTCCTACTAAAAAGGCMATGGAAAGGGTACGAAAAAGGACATCAAAATTGCTTACCACAAGGTATGACCCGAGGCCGAGAATATCATTCTTTACATTTTACAAATTAGACTCCACTCGCTTTATTTACAATTTATGACTTTTATCRGCTTAATCATGGGTTCCTTCTTCTTTCAAACCTAGGGAAACACAAAGTAGTTCACTCGAAAATGAATACAAAAGTGATTATGAAGATGATGAAAACAGTGCCGAATGTGATGATATCGTTGCGCTTCGAGATGAACTCGACCAMAATGATAAAAGATACTGTGTTGATGCGGAGGATGGAGCRAACGGCTTTTCATCGCCAAAACTTTTGCTAGAAAAAATACAAACAGCGRAGCCAAAGAGTGAAACATCTTCCTCAAAGAAACGGAAAAGGTAAAGAGGACGCATGTTTGGAATGTGTTGGCTAAAATCCACGCGAGGTTTATTCAAACTATTGATTGCATATTACACCTATTTTCAAAATTACGCGACCTGTGTAGAATTTACAAAGCACGAAGATTTCGCAAGAGCAAGCCGTTTTCATGTTTCATTGACGGCAGCCAAAACCCAGAAAACRGAGACGAGTCGTGAGCAGCGCCGGTCACGTAATTGTGAAAATAGGTGTAACGTGTTATAGTGAAAGCATTTAACCCGTGATTTTTTTTTAATTCTTAAACAACAATCAACACTTCTGTTCGGCTTTAGGGAAACCAACAAATCTAAAATTGCAGGTGTCCTTGAGTCCATGCCAGAACTCATACAAGAAGCCACTAAAGCTGCACAGGAGCATTCAAGAGCTCTTAAAAMATGGGCGAAATCCGTTGGTGATAATTCAGATGATGAATAATGTTTACAATTATTAAAAGGGACTGAGCTGTCCTCTGTGATTCCTGTTCATGGCCCGATCACAAAACATCTTTCACGGTTTCTGTTATTGATGCTTGTACAGTTACTGTYAACTATGATACAAAGGAGGGAGAGGATAGAGTGAAAATCAAAACCTAAACTAGACCGTGTGAAACAAAAACTGACCGTTAGAGTGTTATAAGGTCAAGTAGTGTAATTATCTATAGTCACTGGCTCAAAAATCACTCTAATAATGCTAGTTTCAGTTCTTCGTTGTGAAAACAACAATGACAATATAGTTATGAACAATTGTGYCAAGACGTAGAGTAATGAAAATAAACCTATGCAAACAAAACATCTTGTAGTTTGCTTCCAAATTCTCTCGTGAAAACATTGTTGAATCAAAATTTCAAGGTTTTCAAATTTTCAACTTTTTCAAACAATGAAGCAATAAGCAACATTGAAAATTATTATGATAATCTACGAAGTATAAGTCAAGAAGGACGCACTCATGYGTGGCGCTTAACGCTAGCTACAATTAATTTTGCAATCTCAGATTGTTATATCGTTATTACAATTTCTACAAACTCTTATATTTTCGAAATTCTATAATTTTGTTGATTTAGTTTAAAAAAATAATATKACAAGAAATATTGACATATGAACGTTGGTACTATCCCGTCTGGCACTAATAGTGCCAAATCCGGGTTTAAGCCGGTAAATCGGAAAACTCTATTTGGTCTTGGCGTAGTCGCCTTGGTATATTTCTGTAAAGTCTCATAGATGATTTGTCGGCTGTATAATTGTGCAGGCCAGTCTCCAGGTTGAATAATTATGTATTTCTTTAAGTATTCTCGAAGTCTTGTGTTTAGGATAGTGTCAAATGCAGCGTCAAAATCGTTTTTGCTTTTAAGATTAAGTACTACAAAGTCTATTAAGTGAACGTCCTCCATTTGTCGCATTGTTCTAATGTTGTCGTTTTCGCAGTATTCATGGACAGCAAGTCTGTGTCTTTCAAGTTCTGGGTTGAATAAAGAATCGTGAATCCATGCAGGCATGATTGTGGAGTACGTGAAGCCAAGCTTGTACATTGAAGGAGGACCAGATACAGTAGATACACAAACATTCGTATTTATACCTTTTATGTCGTGTAATTTCGTTGGCGTTGATGTTGGAATGGCTTTTATATTTCGGAAAACTTTTATTATGATGGTACACATCCTTTTTGCATGAGAAATTTCATCTGTTGTTGGTCGTCGTTTAGAGTGTATTGATGTGAAATCGTCTATTATTAAAACAAGTTGCCATTGGTTAGTGATTGCGTCTGAAATTAGTTGATCGATGCTGCAAGAGTTGCGTTTTGATAACTGTTGCATATAAGTGTTTAATTTTTTTCGAGAACATGAACTTCCCATTTCTCGTTGAGCGTCAATCCCTTCTTGATTAAGATTTGATTGTTGAAGAAATAAACGATGGTCTGTTCGAAGCCAATTGCACACTTGACTTAAACCATAACATAGTTTATAGATGATAGCCACTGTTCTTTTCCTGTTGGTTTTTTGTCGATTTCCAGAGTGTCTAGCTTCAGTCATCGCGGAGAAAATGGTATTGAAAAATGTTTTCGCACCAGATGAAATACTTAACTGTTCAAATATTTCAGGGTCGTAAATAGGGGGTTTATTTGACACAGTGAATTCATTAAATAGTCTTGTTCGCAATAGCTGTAGCTCTGTCTGGAGGTCGCAGCCTGAAATAGAATATGTCAATGGTAAGCATTTTGAATTAAAAAAGATCTGAAATAAGTATGACTTACGTTGTGATAGTCCTTTCATGTGTTGTGAAACTTCCTCAAAAAGTCCAGGGGGGAGAATGGTTTCGCCGCCAGGGCCACGGAGGATCTGGCCAAAACACGTATCTTTAACTTGCCACCCATTCACATCCAAAGTGTTTGCTACAGCTTCGGTTTGGGTGCTGGTTGAAATTGTCGAAGGAGCCACACCCGCACCCGTCGCATAGGCGCGTTGAAATTCGTTTTTTTTTTCTCGGTCTTCCCCTTTCCCTTTGTTGAGCGAACTGAAACAAAGTGCGTACTCAGTGATCATACTTTGTATAAAACATCCAGATTCTACTTTTGGTAAATTTATGAAAAAATAAAAATTAAATATACATATAATATGATTATTAGAGTACAAACACTAAAAGTGTGCAACACTTTGCACTATTTAGTAGTAAATAGTGTTAATTAAACAATAGAAAACAATAGGTTTAGCATAATTTAGCAGTATTTAGTGGTATTTATGTTGCACACCGTATAATGTTTGTACTCTATTATAATTATATACTTACGTGGAGGAAAGCGTTTCCGCTTTTTCGAAATTCGGCGACTGCCCTTCTACACGTAGAACATATCCACAGTTGCTCGCTAGTTGTTTCAATTCCAAAACACTGCTTGAAATCACTTTTAAAACTTGTGGCTGACTTTGCTTCATTCTCGTAGCGCTTACATACTGAACACGTTTTGTGAGAGCAATAAAATTCGTTTACAAACAATGTAACCACCAAAAATATCAATTTAAATGACCGCGCCATGGTTCAAACAAGGCTCAAACCATACGTCACGGGTCAGTGGCCACCTCTGTAGCCTGCAATCACCTTGTTATGCATCAGCGGATGCGTGCATGCGCATGCAAAATTCCCTCCTGTTGCGAACTCCTATTTGCGCAAGTGGGCGTTGCAGGACGCGGTAACGCTTTTTAATGACGTAACAGGTGACTACTGGAAACATCACCACAAGAAATGGAAAACAGAAGTTCATATCTTATCATTCTTTATTTGCTTCTCGCATTGTTTATTTGTTTTGTTTACTTTGCTTTTTTTTTTTTATTATTCGCACTACACGTGAGATATACCACCTGAGTGATATAGTTCTTCGTATCTCGATAAATGCATTACGGCTCAGTTTATTCGTGYTTTGATGTGGTTAAATGAAATTTAGGCAAAGTTAGACTCGATCTGAGTAACAGCGAATAGTCTACATATACGATAGCCGCTGTTTCCATTTGTTGTCTGCCAGCTGGTTACCTAGAAAATAACAAAATAAAGGGAAACAACCGCAGGTCAAGGGGTAGTATACTTTTAGCGAGACCACTAAAATACTCATAAGCGGACTGGTGCTCTCCCCTAGATCCTACTCCGGACCCGTAATAACAGTGACGTATTCTACAGTGAGGCTCCGTATAGGGGGAGGGGTGGTCGGCTATATCTATTTTTTAGTTGCTGGATTGCACCACATCCTATATTTTACATCAAAGTTTAATCCTAATAAAAGTTTCTAATTATTCATAAAATATAGTTTTTCTGTCACAAAGCCTAATGTTAAAGGATCATGTCTATTCTTAGTTTGCTGGATTGTATTTTAGTTCTCGCGGCACCTGCTTGAATATTGTCCTTTTTATTGTTGAACAAAACAACAACATCTTTTCCAAACAATCGATAACWAGTTACCTATTTGTATACTAATGGATAAATAAATTTCCCAAAAGTGCAAACTCGAATCGAACCCTAGTCTTTTGCTCGACAGGCAAGTATATTAACCACTATACTATCATGGATCTGGATGTTTTATTTTCTATTAAAAATATGTTTGTCTCACGAGTCGGAATCCAACCGACGACCTACAGATAATTGTTTTACACTACAGTCTACCCACTGAGCTTCCGTGAGATCTATACTTTACTCTTCTAGAAAGATTTTACCCCATCATCTAACGGAGAGTTTATCGAGATGATGAATTTTAAAAACTTATGTCAATATTTCTTGATATATATATTTTTTTCTAGAATAATATAGAAAACTTTGAAGCACATTTCCCTAAAACCACAGAAATGTGCTGCAGTGCTTTTATTCAAATATTTTAGCTCCATGTTTATACACAAAAATATTAACTTTCATGATCAAGCTATTTACACTATGTAGCTAGAATCTTGTACAAAACTCGCGACAAATAAAAAAAAAAGCGATTCGAATTAATATGAAGCGGATGGATTACTCTAGGCTATCGATATTGCATTTCTTTTACTGGTCCACAACTGTGGTTAGGGCTTCATTAGCCATATTCTCCTCGGCAATGGCTCGGACTGTGGGTTTGTTTTCGTGTAGCTTTACTGACCCACGTCATGCTACCTGTAGATGGCGGTGCCTTATCTCGACAGGCCAATAGTTTTCTCCATCAATTTAGACACCAGGATGGTTAGGATCTGCGCTGCTACGCGATGTTCTATACATTTCTATAATATCGTATCCTTCTGGAATAGTTCGGAATGCTGGTGCTCCCGAGATGTAGTTTTGCCACACGGGGATAGCTGCATTAGACCAGATTATAGAACGATGTGCGAGTTTAGGTTGTTTTCTTTCTGGCTTTGTTTCGGTGCCAAACACTGGTGCTGACTCGACACTACTGCTCACCTTAGTATTGGTGGTGAAGTTATAAACGTGACAGCTGCCAAACATGTCTCCAAGAACTTGCTTATCAGTTGGTGTATCGGGTTTGTTATCTACCAATAAGTATCCAAATGGCTTTTCGGTCTCCCTGTGGTAGGCGGACATAAATTGGTCTCTATTCTTATCAAACATTCGCTCTCCAACGATTCCAATTTGTTTCCTGTCACTAGGACTTCGGAAGAGAGCAAGATATTGGGCATTTCGACTAATATCTGTATTAAATTTTCCCCCTAGGAAACATGTTCTGAAGCAGAAGGATAACGCTAGCATTTCTATGACGACCCTGGGTAAATAATCGAGCTACTACAGAACTGTCTGTCGCTTCGGCCATCAGATCATCCAGTATGATTATGTTGTTGTACTTGGGATTAATCTCACTCAGATCCTCGGACAGCTCGGGTAAACCTCTTTCAAGTTGAATTCTTTTTCCAAGGGATTTTTTCAAGACATCGTTACGATCTTGTCATTGATTATAGCACCAAAGAATACGAATATTTTTCTGCTCTTCATATACGATACGATTTTTTTCTAAAATCTGTTGGACGAAATAGGTTTTACCACACTGAGTGGGACCAACGACCAACAGAGAAAATTTATGGGCGGAAGTTGAATTCTGGACAGGGTGCAGTAGTCAAAGACAGCGATACTTTTGGGGTTTTTGTTGATTTGAGTACAGAGCTTGTTCTTTTTCGAACGCATCTGATTTCTCTTAGACTACGTGCTGGCCGTGCCGGTAGTAAGCTCGAGATGTGGTTTTGTGGTGCTGAGAACCTTGCATTCCCTAACCACTTTTTCCTTTCATCCCCATATAGGTTAT